AAGTGTTCATTTCAGTAAGTCAGTACTAGTGAGATGGTTTCAAGTTTTTCCTCATGTACTGCTTATGTTCAGACATGAAACTGATTAACATTCATGTTAATCAGTTAATCTGTGGGCAAGTAAATCAAAAGCTCAAGACACTGGCAGTGACAGAGGAAAGAAGCTCCTATTTCTGAAAGCACACTTCGCGGGCAAACCTTCTACAGGAGCAGATAGAGTGCCACAAATTTTCCATGAGCCTGGCCAACAGACAGGAACACATCAGGCCATCTGCCATTCTTTTAGGCCACGGATGAGAATTCTAACCAAGTCATCTTCCTTTAGCACTACAAGTGTGCCTTTAACAAACAGATCGACTATGAAACGTTAGGGTAGAGCAGAACCCGCTCAGGCTCTAGAATTGTCGACTGCCCGAGTGTTTCTGCCGTACCAGTAGTACTGTATGATGCAAGTAGCAATTTGCTGGCAGTCAGCATGGATTTCCTAGTTTGAGTTCCAGAGAAGACAGCTTTGTTCCAAACCCTCCACCAGTTCCCTGGTGCCCTCTCTAATGTGACGGGTTTCTCTTTTTGAAGATCTCATCACACAAGTGCACGTCTGCACCTGCTGCACAGACAATACAGGACAGATTTCTCTCTTCAGTCATTCAGCTGCTTACCTCCGTCCAAAATAGCTTCATAAGAAACTTCCAACAGCAAGCGAAGTTGAGGATCCATCGTATGAGCTTGTTTGGGGTGAACCCCAAAAAAAGATGCATCAAATTTGCTTATGTCCTTGAGCTTTCCATTTCTCTTGGGCAGTCCATAAATTCCTGAGAAGAAAAATTCACAGCCAAGTCACAGAATACATCATTTTTGAGGCAGTTAACAGCTGAGTCAAGTACAGAATGACCAATTCTCAATTACATGCAAAACCTCACTTCCCTGGTGTAGTGCCCGAGTGTCGCATGAGTATCTACCTACCCATCACTCTCAATCCCATTTGGAAATGGGAACGCTGCATTAGCAAAAACAATTGTTGTTTTTCAGACTCTCCTGAATATCACAAGACGACATCTATCTAGTTTAAGCATTTTCACTTTGGCAAGCTGTACTAAGCATATAAACAGAGTCCAAATCAGTGGTTCCAGTCAGTCACCAGTTAGAAGAAAAACAAGCGCTTCTTTGCAATTCTGCAAATCACTAGCTTGAATTGGATAGACATGTGCTAAACACTTCAGAAAGACAATGAGACAAAAAAGAACATTGTAAAAAGCCATAAATCACAGAACTGGAGTCCCTGTGCTACTTCTGAACCCAGAAAAGTGACAGAGCCATCTTACCGCCACAGCTGCCAACAGCAGGTACAGGACTCACACTACCTAGCTGCTCTGTCAGAGTGGTCTTTTATTTGGAAGTAAGCTACATATTATTTACAAGCTACTACTGCAAGGGAGACGTGACATTATAAAATGGGTTGCACGAGATCTTCATTAAAGTGTTCTGTTCCTGAATTTCTTGATGTCAGACGTGAATTCAGAAGCTCTAGCAGGTTTCACAACTGGTAAATCTTTTCCCTTCACAGAATAATTCCGTTAAAATGCTCAGAACTCAGGGCTCCAGAAGGAAAGACAATAAGCACTCACCTGGCTTCCACCTCCGATCATCCTCTGTGACCATATCAACTCCATTAAGCAGGTTTTCCCAAAATTCCTGCAAGTTCTCTGATTCTGGCAGCTTTCCTGCTATGCCAGCAATCACTACGTCCTCCATCTCTTAACTTCTCCCTGTTACTGAGATCCACAAAGCAGTGAGATTAGTAATATTTCACATAGAGAAGGAGAGTATATGTTTCTCTTATCTTTCTGACATGTTGTGACAAACAAGCACATTTGCAGGAGAAACAGCCAAACAGGAAGAGCCTGTGGAGTCTCTACTAAAAAATAAATACAAAGATATCCCAACTAATCAAATGGATCACAAGATCCATGGGGACAACGAGGATGGGAAAACTGATCCTGAAGAAGCGTCAGGCACCTAGAACCACCAGTTTCTACATGGCAACTAGAAAATGAGCAGGTCTAGCTCTACCAAACGCAGAGCCTCTGTGAAGTCAGCAGAGAAGAAAGAAGAACATGCTGGAGCAGAGGTGGGTGGAGAAATTATGAAATACATATAGTAAAATACATAATTACAAGGCAAACCTAACAGGTAGCTAAACAAGTTCTACAATCATTCCAAAGTCAAATGCTAACTTAAGAATCAATAATCAGAAAACCTGGGGGGGGGAGGGAACAAACACCCACAAAACAAAAAAACCCCACACAAAAAACAAAACAAACAAACAAGCCACAAAACCACACACACAAGAAAACCCACCCAAAAGCACAAAACTTACAACACCCAAAATACAAAGTTTCACATAACGTGCTTCCAAGCTGCACCCTGCGCTGCCATACGTTTAAAGGACTGGGAATGGGGAACTGAGCACATGTGACAGAGAGCGGTGCTTTAAAATAGGAGTTGGCAGAACAGATCTGGATTCCAGATGGGACGAAAAACTTTCACTCTTGTCCCAAGAAATTTGCATTCTAGGGCCCCAATCCCAAACACCACAAGAAAGCACCATGCTGCATAACACAGCATGGCAAGCCATATATACAGATCATACCACCAAACAAATATATTTTACTTTCGATTACACTAACATATATATTAACAACTAAGCAGAGAGAAGGCAAGTTAACCTGATGTTTCGGTTAAGTTCAAATTACAGTTTGTAGATCTTAAGTAGGCAAGTTAAAAGAGGGGGGCAGGAGGGGGAAGAAGAACACGCACATATATATAATACATACACGTTTGGGTTTGTTTTTTTAAAAATACAGTTGCACGAACAAAAGAGGTCATAAGCATTCACAGTACTTCCTTAACTAATCCTTCTGGTAAGTAGAGGTAAAATATTCTTTAGAGTTAATGTGCAGGATTTTAACAAGTAAAAGGCACAAAGAAAACCGGGTATTTCAACAGCTAAAAGTCTGCCTTAACTCTGAAGACCTTGCTACAGAAGACCTAAGGTTTTACTTCTGTCACAGATCATGCTCCATAGTGCCATGCAGGCACTTTCTGCTTAAGGGCTGCTGGCACTCGATCACCTCCTCCACAAAACAGCATGGATGGATACTCTTAGATGAGCACTTCATAGTTGCTTTACCAATGCCAGACATTTCATTTTGGCATGGTTTTGCAGTTTCTTTCAGGAGTTCCTGATGCTTTTGAGCAAGGACAGGCCTCTCTCCCATTCATCCACTCCTCAAGTGCAGCGTCTTCCAGTAGCTGGAAGAGGCTGGGGTGTGCAGAGGGAAGGCAAAGCCCTCTGGTTCGCTGAGGACACACCACCACAGAGGTCACCCGATTTCTTTTACCCTTCTTCTTTCCTTCAGCAGTTTATCTTGAGCCAGATCTGTGGAGTAACTGTGGAATTATGCAACATGCAACACTGGAGCAGAAGAGACGATTACTTCACCCAGTCCATCCCTTCTGGAAGCAGAAACAGAAGTGCTCCCAAAAGGACATCTTGGATTTCCCATGCTAAACACCCACACCACAGCAGCTCCGTTCCGCTCCGGTTGTTTACTTCAAGAGGAAAACGCTAAGGGCCAAATGCACAAGGCCCCTACAGAGAAACTATTCCCCAGGCTGAAGTGGGTAGTCACAGGCCCAGTCCACTCTGCTCAGAGGAGAAGCCTGTCAGATTTGCCACTCAGATAAATCCAGTAATTCGGTTTTAGTGCTGGCATCCCCACCCGGCCTGGGAAACCCAACCCAGGGCCACAACTCTGCCATACCTGCAGCAGCTCCGCACGAGTGGCAGAGAAAGAACGGATCTCAGGCACGAAGACAAGCGACGTGCAAGACAATGAGAAGATGATTCAATTTTATGCCTCAGCTGTTGTATTTCAGAGGACTGAAACATCACTTCTGGGATTGTTTCCTCCCATCCTGTATC